CCACCTGGGAGTAAATCGATGCCACTATCCTCGCACGAGGATAGGGCTGTTTCCGTAATCAGATCTATAACAAAGTTAAGTAGAAATGGAGAGGGAGGGCAACCCTGACGAACACCACTTTCCGTGGCAAACTCGGCGAAAAAGTGCCGTAAGCCCGGACTCGACTTCGGCTATGAGTATAAAGCGATCGTAATATTGAAATTAACCTCTCGGGCACCCTCCTCAGGAAAAGACAGCGCCAGAGTTTAGAGCGGTCGACTGGGTCGAAAGCCGCTTTCAGATCTAGGAGGACAGAGATGGTGGGTCTACGAAAACAATGCCGGTGCTCCAGAATTTGGCACAGAGTGAAGATGTGGTCGATACAGCCTCGACTGGGCCTAAAACCAGCCTGGTTCTCACGCGTGCACCGTTCACGTGCGGCAGACAATCGGTGGAGTATGATGCCAGCAAGAAGTTTAGAGACAATATTGATTAAACTAATTCCTCTGTGGTTTTCACAAGAGGATCTATCACCTTTCTTGCAAATCGGTTTGATCACCGACTCACACCATTCAGCTGGAATCTCTTCCCTTTCCCATATCGAGCCCAGGAGTTTTGTCAACTTCGAGACTAACGCGGAGCCTCCATCCTTAAACGCTGATGGGAACAGCCCATCTGGGCGAGAGGCCTTATGCCTTTTGAGATAGCTTATTTCCCGAGAAACCTCCAGTTCAGATGGAGGACTAGCATCAACTGGAAGTATTTGACCAGTCGAGGCGGAGAGTGAAATATGAGATATCGATGAGGGCCAGTTGAACTGAGCTTTGAAGTGTTCAGCCCAACGGTCAAGACGGCGTTGCTGATCATAAATCAGTGTGTCATCGGATTCCTTAATTACCTCACTTACGCCTATTTTCCTAGGGCCCGTATTCCTAATTAGATGGAAAAGGTTACGACTATTACCAATATCCGCAGCTTTCTCCATCTCTTTACGCTTTTCTACCCACCACTTCTCGCGGTCATTCCTCAGGCTCTTGATGAGCTGGCGTTTAAGGGATTTGCGCGCTGTGTCGTATGTGATATCGGGAGGGAGTGTTCTGCGGGCGTCCAGCAGGGCAACCGAAGTCGACGATATCCATCGTTTGTGTTTTGAGCTTGA